CAAGGGAAACATTAATACCCAAAGTAGACTTATATTGCTACACTTCAGTACATTTTTAATTAAAGTTTTTGCTGTAAATGCTTGTGCCATAATGTATGCTAAATAAATTTATCCTGTGATGGGACCATCATTACTTTGTCAACTGCCTTTGGGAGCCACTTGACCAATATTTTATGTTTTGGGACAAAACTCCAATTTACCAAACATCACTTCTCTATCATCTGCTTACCTCTGAAGCAAGCCCACACAGAAAGAAAAGCTGTCAGATTCGCTATGCTTCCCTGAAATGGTAAATGGAGATATTAACAGTTATAAATAACTCAATCTGCCACACTTGCTTATGGCAATGAAGCAGCCTTCAATACAGTTTCTCTTATAGACTGAAGTATGAAAACCAAATTGTAGCAAATAAAAATAAGGCAATTCTTTCATATCTCTGGCCTCAATTTATCTCAAAACCCGAGAAAAACCCCGACAGCCTCTACAGTATATAACTGGATATTAGTCACAATTTTCCAACAAGGATTTAAAATATACTGTCATGTGGTGGTCACTGATAGAAATGGAAATGAGAGTGTCCACCAAATGACAGTTGTGCTAACCAGGTCTGGTTGCCTGCTGTGCTGACAGTGGGGGAGGGAAAATGGAAAGGGGAACACACTTATCCAAAGATAGGAAATGCCCATCTGTTGTGAAGAGCTTCTATGAATTGCTGTAACTGTGATCCTTCATACAAGATTCTTGGGGTCCAAATTTCATGCAAATAATCCCAAATAGGTTAGAGATTATACAAACTGGCTCTAGTCCATGACATACTGACACAGCCTATCCTAGAATTCAACTATATAGACTTTTCTTAGAGCTGTTTTTGTCTCTATCTGTTGGCAGTTCTAGGTTGGAGAATTTTTCAGACCACAGTTCAGGATATATGGGAGAAAGTCAGGAAACCCTGGGAACTCACTGTCGTGTTGTTCCTCACATTCTGGGGACTCTTGGTTGTCGTCTGCTTTTTCTCAGTCTTCTGTCTCTTGTTGTGTTATGTCCAGGTTTTTCAATCATAAGGGGAAGTTTATGTTTTCATTCCTCAGTAGGATGTTACCACGATTTGTTATCTAGTCACCATTTACCATCAAGTTTTATTCTATTAGCTTGATGGTAAATCTACTTCTGGATGTAGGAGAGTTAATTGCAAATGCAATGTCCTCAAGATGACCACAGAGTACATGGAAGTAATAATCATACAATTTTGCATGGAAGCTACTCTTTCCCAGCGTAGAAAGAGGGGTAATAAGACAAAATGTGTGTGTCTGTGTGTCTGTGTGTGTGTATGTGTGGCAGAGGGGGGAGTCGGGGGGGAGTATGGATGAGAAAAATGTGCTAGGCTTAATGTAATAGAGGTCATGGTGGGATCAAATTTGTTTGAGTTATACTATATGGTGTAAACCGGAAAGAGGAATCAGAGCGAGTGGTCAGAGTGGGGAACTTGACATGCAGATGTCAGAGGTAGTACAATTATTAGCAATAGAAAGTCCAGGGTATAATGACAGAAATGGGTGACCTAGACCTCATTGTTGTTTTGATTTGCATCTCTCAGAGATGCAAATTAGTGATTTTGAGCATTTTTTCATATGCCTCTTGGCCTTCTGTATGTCTGCTTTTGAGACGTGTCTAATCCTTTACCCATTTTTTGATTGGATTGTTTATCTTCCTTTTGTTAAGTTATATGAGTTCCCTATAAATTTTGGAGATTAAACCCTTATCAGATGTCACATTGGCAAATATGTTCTATGCAGAGGGATTTCTTGTTTTGTTTTGTTTTTTGGGTTTTTGTTGTTGTTGTTGTTGTTGTTGTTGTTGTTGATGATGATGATGATGATGATGATGGTTTCTTTTGCAGAAGCTTTTTATTTTGATGTAGTCCCATTTATTTATTTTCTTCTTAGTTTCCACTGTTCTAGGAGATATGTTGGTAAACATATTGCTATAAGCTATATCTGATATTTTGCTGCCTATAGATTCTTCTAAGATTTTTATGGCTTCCCATCTTATGTTTAAGTCTTTTATCCATTTTGAGTTTATTTTTGTTTATGATGCAAGTTGGTAGTCAAGTTTCATTTTTTGCATGCATCTGTCCAATTTTTCCAACACCATTTCTTGAAGAAACTGTCTTGACTCCATTGTATGCTCTTGCCTCCTTTGTCAAATATTAATTGAGCATAATGGCTTGGGTCGATTTCTTGGTTTATTTGTATGTTCTTGCACCAGTAGCAGGCTGTTTGGAGAACAGTGGCTTTGTAATATAATTTGATGTCTAGTATTGTGATCCCTCCAACTTTTTTCTTTTTTCTCAGGATTTCTGTGACTATTCAGGGTCTTTTTTTATTCCATATAAATTTTTTGGAGAGTTTGTTATAGGTCTGTGAAATATTAACAAATCAACAATGGCAAGTGCTAGCAAGGATGTGGAGAAAAGGAAACCCTTGTACACTGCTGGTGGGAATACAAACTGGCATAGCCTCTGTGGAAAACAGATGAATTTCCTCAACAAATTAAAAATCTAATTTCCATTTGACCTAGTAATCCTACTCCTAGGAATATATCCCAAGAAACTAGAAACACCAATCAGAAAGAACATATGCACCCCTATGTTCATAGCAGCACAATTTACAATAGCTAAGATTTGGAAACAGCCTAAGTGCCCATCAGCAGATGAGTGGATTAAAAAATGGTGGTACATCTACACAATGGAAAACTATGCTGCTGTCAAAAAGAAAGAACTCTTACCATTTACAACAGCATGGATGGAACTGGAGAGCATTATGCTAATCGAAATAAGCTAGTCAGAGAAGGATATCACATGATCTCACTCATTTGTGGAATGTAATGAACAACATAAACTGATGGGAAAAAAATAGATCCAGAGACATAGAAGCATCGAACAGACCCTCAAAGGGAAAGCAGATGGAAGGTGGGCTGGTGGTGGGTGGTGGGTGGGGAGAGATCAACCAAAGAACTTGTATGCCTATACTCATATCAATGGGAGTGGTGGTGAAGGCCTGGGCTGGGGAGTGGGGGCAGACTGGGAAAGAACAACAGTGGGAAAGGAGACACATGTAATACTTTCAACAATAAAGAGTTGTTGTTGTTGTTTTAAGAAAAGAATAATTGTGGTATCATAGGAGGTTAGCATGTGGGTCAGATGTGTGGGACAAATGGAGATAAAAGTCCAGATGATGGAAGATTGTCAGGCATGACAATATTGCTTGGGATAATCTCTTAAGAAAGGGTGATTAATCAAATTTAATTAAAACTTCTTTCTCCACTGGTCTCTATCCAAGTTCTCATATCCCATAGAGGTGGCAGCTTTATTTTGTGCTTATCATTCTGGCTTTGGTTTCTTCACTTTCAACATCATAAAAATGTAAGCTTTTAAAGCTTAATTTTATATTTAGAAGGTTTTAGCTTGTTGCCTGTCCTAGCACAACTTAATTTCCATGCCCCTAGTCCTTTACTTTAAGCCATTTTTTGTTGGCTGAAGTTGTTTTTACATTTTTCTGTTATAATTGTTAGTCTTTTAAAGAATGAATGGGCAATAATTTTATTGAGTTGTTGCATATGTCGATATGTATTTCTGTCAATATGAAAGTGAATGATGTCAAGAGAATGAAAAGAAAGCCACACACTGGAAGAAAGTTTTTGCAAAAGACATATCAGATAAATAACTATTATCTAAAATTTACAAAGAACTCTTAAAACTTGACAATAAGAAAACAAACAACCTGATTCAAAATTAGCCTACTATCTTAAATACCTCACCAAAGAAGATATACAGATGGCAAGTAAATACATGAAAAGATGCTTCCGGTGTTTTGTCATCAAGGAAATGCAAATTTAAAAAAACACACCTGTTAGAATGACCAAAATCCAGAACATTGACAATACCAATTTCTGGTAAAATATGGAGCAATAAAAAGCCTCATTCAGTGCTGCTGGAATGCACAATGGTACAGCCACTTTGGAAGACAGTTTGGTGTTTTTTTTACAAAATTAAACATATATTTACCATGTGATCTAGCAATTATGTGTCTTGGTATTTACCCAAAGGATTTGAAAATATTTCCACAAAACCTAGCAGCTGTATTCATAATTACCAAAATTTGAAAACAATGTGTCTTTCAGTAGCACAAACTGTACTACATAGAGATAATCGAATATTATTCAGTTCCAAAAAGAAAAAAAAAACTATGAAACCATGAAAAGACATAAAGGAAACTTAAATGTATAACACTATGGCAAAAAAGCCTATCTGAAAAGGCTGCATACTACATGATTTCAATTATATGACATCTGGTCCTATTTTTACTACCTGGAGGTAGGTTCACAGTGATATATAATGAACATGTACTATTTAGTATTTCTTTTCATGACTTTTTCTGCTTATTTTTTCTATGGAACAGAAAGAGAAAGTAAACTAATGGGATAAATTGGAGAATAAAAATTCAAAATAATCTTGGCAGATTGGTGTGATATGTGAAAATCAATAATAACAATTAGTAGAATAAATATACATACCTACATTTAAGTTTTTAAAAGAGTGCAATGGATGTGGAGACTTTGTGACCAGTTTATAGGAAACAAGTCTTGGAAGATTAGTTAAATAAAAGACTATGGTGATGAATAATTTTGGAAATAGATATAGTGACATTTGCATAACACTTTTTTAATGCAATTAATGCCACTGATGAAGCCACAGATCATTCCTTTAGCCACTGATACACCAGTAAAACCAAAAATGGTTAGATAAAGTCTAAATACCACTGGATATGTGAGGCAAGATGATCTAAGACAAGGCTCTCTCATGGATCACTGGCATAACTTATCTGATATTGGCCTATGTAAAGAAATTCATTAATCATTCAAATGCAAGGATCTGACCATAATAATTTTCTTCAGTGTAAATGTGATATCCTTTGTGTTTTGATAAGAATTTCTCACAGTTTTTATCTTTTATCTCTAAATTTCTTTAAAATTTTCCAGACAGCAGCCATAACTTCCTTATTTCTCAAGCTATAAATCAAGGGGTTCAACATAGGTGCCACCACAGCGTAGAATAGAGCAACCATCTTCTCCTCTTCCACTGAGGATGCTGACCGTGGCCCCAGGTAGGTGAAGATGGTAGCCCCAAAGCACATGGACACCACAGTGAGGTGGGAAGCACAGGTCCCAAAGGCTTTGCTACGTCCCTGAGCAGAGCGAATACGCAGAATGGCAGCAACTATATGACCATAGGAGAAGAGGACCAGGGAACAGGGAAGCATGATCACCAGAAATCCTGAGATGGCCACCATGACCATGTTGAAAGAGATGTCCACGCAGGCTAGCCGCAGCACAGCCAGGGTCTCACAGGCAAAATGGTTAATAATGTTGTGACACAGGGGAAGCCGAAAGGTGATGATTGTTTCCATCAGTGAATTCATGAAACCAGCCACCAAGCAGCCGGCAGCCAGCCCCAGGCACAGCCCTCCATGCATGATGACTGTGTAGTGCAGCGGGTGACACACTGCCACATAGCGGTCATAGGCCATGGCTCCCAGCAGGAAGAACTCAGACCCGCCCAATGCCAGGGACACATAGAGCTGGAGCACACAGCTTTGGAATGGGATGGACTTCTGGGCTGAGAGCAAGTGGGCTAGCATTTGTGGGGCATTACTGCTTGAATAACAAAGGTCCACAAAGGATAAAACAGTAAGAAAGAAGTACATAGGGGTATGAAGCCTGCTGTCCAGTCTGATCAGAAGAAGAATGAGGAGATTTCCCACAATGGTCACCAAGTACATGATCAGGAACAAGACAAAGAGGGACACTTGTGTTCCCCAGTCTCTGGACAGCCCCAGCAGAAAGAACTCACTCACCCATGTCTGGGTTTTATTTTCCTGGCCCATGAGTTCCTGAGGATTTAAACGAAAGGTGTTGATATAATAATCATGAAAACTCAGGATTGAAAGGGTGGCTTTTAGACCATATAGAGAACCTACCCATCTGAACCTAAAGTTTCTCTAGAACACATCAGCCAAACTCTGCTTGAACATATCCATAGACGAAGAACACAATGGGATCCAGCTGTGCAGCTGGAAATCAAGGAGAAAAGAAATTACATTCTTGGAGTTCAATTAACTGGAACATAATTTCTCCCAAACATCTGTTCTTAAATGGGAGAAGGTAATGAATGAAGTAGGATTTAAAATCCTACTCAATTTAATAGTTGTTATATAATCCCTGTCTTTCTGGTGAGAAAGTTCTTGGTCCACATGGAAGTATACTTCTGAATAATGTCCAATAGCATTTAACTGCTTTTTATTTACTAGGTTTCCACTCTAAATATTTCTGACACAACCCTACTTACCTCTCCTCAGTGCAATGTATCTATGAAATCCTAAATGATTTAAATATAAATATTCTTATAGGTGTTTTTTTTTACTAAATTATTTTGAATTTATCTTCTGTAACTTGTCTTTTTACTTTCATTGATTTTAGAGAGAGAGAAAGAAGAGATATAAACATCAATGAGAGAGAAACATTGATAGGCTGCCTCCTGTACAACCCCTAATGGGGATTGAGCCCATAACCTGGGCACGTGCCCTGACCGGGAATTGATCTGATGACCTCTTGGTTCATGGTTCATGGGTCAATGGCTGGGCTGTATTTTTACTTTGAGAGTGTCAAATAGGAGGCCTCCTCTCTACCTATCTCACACAAGTGGGTCAGTTAGGCAAGATCAACCCAAGGTGGTCTAAATCAATTATCAGGTGTTGCATAGAGAAGGTATGCATAGCTTCTAAAATTCATCACTTATGCCCCACAAGAGGAATTTAATGGAGTGCTTATTGATGTCAGTTTATTACTTAATAACAATGTTTTTTTAAGGAAAGAACAGCTCATTCACTCACAATAGAACATCGATATAACCTCACCAGTGAAGATAGAAGGATAGAAGATCAGGTCATAATTATAGAACATATGGTAATGTCATAGGCAGTAGTAGTTTTTTGACCCCCAAACAAAATTTTTCTTGTTTTCTCACTTACAGAAGGAAATAAGTGATCCATAACTAAAGCATACAGATGGGAATCTGAAGCTTTGGAGACAGCCCTGTGACAATACATGTAAGATCATTATTCAAATGGCTCCATAGATTATTCATGCCCTAACTATAGATGGACAGCAGACTACAGTTAAATTTATTGAAAGGTTCCAGTTTCAACTTTTCAAAATGTTCGATATCATACCACCAATGAATGACACAGGTGGTTTGGGGGGCTTAAGATTATAATTCATTATTATCAAGATAGCAATATTCAGATGGTTAGTCATCAAATATTCAGGATTTAGTATTGTTTTGAATAAGCTCCAAAATTTTGAGAAACTTTTTTAAAAAGAGAGCTTTCAGCCCAGCCAGCATGGCTCAGTGATTGAGAATCAACCTATGAACCAGGAGGTCCTGGTTTGATTCCAGGTCAGGGCGTATAACCAGGTTGTGTGCTCGATCCCCAGTAGGGTGCATGCAGGAGGCAGCTGATCAATGAGTCTCTTTCATCATTGATGTTTCTATATCTCTCTCCTTCTCCCTTCCTCTCTGAAATCAATAAAAATATTTTTAAAAATAAAACAGAGCTTTCAGAAATTGTCACACAATAGAAATGATCAAACAATGTCAGGTACCACCCTCAAGCCCTTGTACTGGAAGCTTCAGTCACCCACACCAAAATTAATTGGAACAAGATACTCAGCTATGGGACTGGCAAAGAAATATAAAATGCCTAAATATGTAAGACTCTTCACTGTGCGAAAAAAATAAAGGAGTCGAAATCTTCATGAAAAAAAAAAATAGGTGGTTTACAATCAATAATGATATTTTCTAGAACGTTTAGTATTAACAGGTTTTTTTAGCCTCGTGGCTAAAAATCAATAACATAGTCCTAATTTTTGTAATCCCTTCTTTGTAATTTTCTTTTGCATCATATCTATTTGTACACTGATTTCTTTTTGTTCTGTTACATTCTATTCTGGAATAGAAAATATTGTCCTTAGACTGGTTGGAAAATTTCCTAGTCATGAAAGCCCGGATAAAAATATGGATGGGTAATGTTTACAGTGCTTTCTTATCCTTATGTAAATGTACTTCAGATACACCAATGCTTTTTGGAAATTCACCAATAGCTAAAAGAAATACACTACAAAATACAGCTAAATGCAAGACCCATCCATCCTTCCCCACCAACTGCTTTGTACCCAACATGTGGCTTCCTACACTTGTAGTTTTCAGAATATTTGGATTGAGGGCATCATCAGGTCCACGTTGATAGGCAAAGGAGTTTTCTGGAAAACTATAACTATTTTCCCTAGGGATGTCATTTTAAGTCTAAATATTTTAACTATATTTCCTTCACATGTGTTTACTTTCCCCTTTATTTTCTCTTTCCCACCTAATATCCTGATGGCTATAGTTGGCATCTAAAGATGTATATACACATATTTCAAAAATTGCTGACAACATAGATGTTGAAGAAATCAATAATTATTTTGTGTTGCCTACTCTGTGTTTGGGTTAAACAACTATACAAATCACAAATAAAACCTAAAACATACCAAAGTAGGATAAATTACTTTCTAGAAGTATTTCTACTGTGACCTTTCTTTAGAGGCACACCAGTGATTTTGTCCTACATTGTATGTAAGACTTGTTCCAAATAACCTTTCTTTAGTCCCATCAGCCAACATCTCAAGTGTAAGTGTGATACAGCAGCTCCTCCAGGTATATCAGCAGGTCTGTATGTGCACACAGGTGGCATGGATTGAAGGTGATGGTTAATGGTAAATTCATTTATACTGTTTGAAATTCTATAACCAGGAGTTAAACAAATGTCAGTTTTAAAAAAATCAAACAAACAACAACAAAACAAGTGATGTTTCCTACCTATTTCCAAAAATATACTCATAGGAAGGTATTTGTGCTTAAAGCCATGTTGTTTTTGCTTAGTTATGTAGTCAAACAAGTGTATTTCCAAGTGACATGTTATTTGTGTAAGCAATTTTTAAAAATAAAATATATTTGATATTTTAAAAAAGTGATATGTCAAAGTAAAATCTGTTTCTTTGTAAAATTGTTTCATATAACTTACCCAACTCAATTACCCTGTGAATCATTGAACAGCCAGGATCAATTTCAGAAAACCTTGTCAGTCTTGTCCGTTGTTTGGTGGCAGATGGTGGGAAGAGAGCAAACAAGCTCCTGAAATACTCTTGCCAAGCCAAGACCAAAAACTCTCTCGGGTGGGAGGAATGTTAAGAGAAGAATTTAAAACCATAGCTACACTTTTTTCTATATCAAGTTGATATGAACCCTTTATTTGCTAAACACCTACTCTGTACCGGGCATTCTATTGAATACTTTACATATCTATTAATATAATGTAATATAATGTCATATAACAATCTTCACAATACTGAATTTTGGCTTATTATCTCTATTTTGCAGATAGAGAAAAAGAGGTGAAGTGAGTAGATAGTGGAGGAGTCAGCAGGTAAACTGATTATCGGATAACCTGGAGTACATCTGCTATGCTCCTCCTCTACATAGCATGACCCTGTGTTTGTACAGCACAGTGACAGTCACTGTTTAAAGGTTGTGGACTCACCTAACACAAAAATCAGGAGATATATCAAGAGGACTGACTTCTTACTTTTGGTCCCATTCACTTCAGAATCATGGTTGACCAGAGTAGACCCTCCCACTCACCTGTGAACTTAAAGTCTGGCCTTTAAGCCACATGGCCAGCATGACAAGGAGAAACAGGAGCGCAGCACATGTCTCCCATTAGGAACTCTTCTTGATGTATGTGACTAACTGTCCTCTTTTATACATTTGAAAAGGCGATCATGCTTCTACTTTGTGTTGGATATGCCGATGAATACAACTACAAGAGTAGATCCATGGCAGGAAGTCTTTTTTTCCCCTAAGAAAAAAATAAAGGGCTCTGCTTATAGACTATAAGGACACAATAATGGTCTAATATCAGAAAAAGATAAATCAAATGTTTATTTTTTTAAAATTAGCATTCAAAAGAAAATGTGAAGCTAAGGATATTTTTGTCTAGTTCAAAGAATATCCCTAACTGGTAGAAGGTGAAGCATGACAAAGGATCCTGGACTGTGGGGATGCATCTTATCTGGTTGGAAAGACTTGTCCCCTCTGAGTCACTCCCACGGGAACTTGGAATTTATTCCTTGTGGTTGTGAGCACTTATAAGTAGTGCTTACATATCCCTCACTGTTTGTGTAAATAGTACTGTCACACTAACATAAAAAAAGAGGTTATATTTCCCGGTCATTTGGCAATCACATCAAAGACAGAGATAACATGTTGAGCAGCTGTGTAGTTAAGCTGAAATCACTACAGAGAAGAGAAGCAGGAATTCTTTCCACAGTCATAGGAATGTTTTCTTTCCATAGTGTCCCCTCAGGTCCCACACACAAATATAGTCGCTTGTGCCCAAGCTGTTCAGACGCCTTTTCATACCTGCTTAGTTGTACCCTTACAAATTTAAGGCCAAAATAACATTGTGAACATACTAAATGCCACTGAATTGTGTACTATTCGATGTTATGCGAATTTCACTTCAATGTTTCTTTTTTCTTTTTTCCTTTCAATAACAAAGATATTTTTTTTTACTTTCAATAACAAAGATAAATTTTTATTTATTTATTTATTTATTTTTTATTTTTTATTGCTTACAGTATTACAAAGGGTATTACATATGTGTCCCTTTTTTTCCCCTGCCCTTGACAGTCCCCTGGCCTCCCCTACTTCACTTCAAGTTTTAAGAAAGTTTTCACAGACCAGTGATATGTCTTTCTAAATATGTAAATGTCTTTCTCAAAAAAT